AGCAGTACTTTGAGGTGTTGTCTCCCACAGCATTTAATCCTCTCTGGGGTCATTCCCCCCTTTGCTCCCCTCCCTGGCCTTCCCCCTGCTCCCGCTCCCACAGGCTCTGTCTGTCCCAGGCCTCCTGGCTCGCTGGCCTCGGGGTAGGTCTGGCACAGCCGGTGGGCAGGAGTGGGGGAGATGCCAGGGTCGCCATCCCTCTGCCTCAAAGGGCGGCTCCGGCCAGTGGCTGCTTCTCCTCAGTGCTCTAGCTCTGGCTCCAGCTCGGGCCAGGCAGCTCCCTGGGGTTCCACTTCCCACAGCAGCTCCTCTCATTGTGCCCTGGCTCTGGGGCGGGTTGGGGGAGGGGGGAGGTAATGGCTTCCTGTTTCTGATCAGGTTGGGCTGCCTCCTCATTCCTTTCTTGGGTGCTTTTGTGTCCTATCGTCTCTATCATCACGTCTCTTGGTTACATGCACAGGAGCACAGAGACCTCTGCGGTCCACCCTTTCTCACTCACACCCGAGAACACGGACAACCTTCCTCCTAGGCCCACGCTCCAGGGGCGTCACTGCCTCCCAGGGGTCTCCCTGTGTCCCGTCTGTCTCCGAGTCTGCTACCAGGTCCCACTGCCCAGACAGGCCCCTGCCCACTGCTCCGGCACCACGGCCTCTCCTCCTCTGGGCTACATGTCACACTCATTCTCCTCCTCTGGGCTATATGTCACACTCATTCTCCTCCTCTGGGCTACATGTCACACTCATTCCTGCCCCATGTCGTGGCTCATCGTTCCCTACAAGGCTCTCTCCCTGTCCCCTTACTGAACCAGCGACTCAGGCCCAGCTCAGAGGCTCCCTCTGCCTGGGAGCCTCCACTGCCCTGGGCCGATGCGATTTCCCCTCCTGCAGGGATGACTAGATTACTGGCTTCACTATGTATCTCACCAACTTACTTCTGCGTTTGTCTCACCTTTCCCCGGGCTCATTCTGCCCCAGTGAGGCTGCAGCCCTAGAAGGCGGGAACAATGGCTCACCTTTTCTCTCAGCACCAAAAACACACAAGTCTCTGCAGAGCACAGAGCTAACAGAACAGCCACTGAGGGACAGGAGAGTGGCAGGATGTCTCTGCACGACAGCACATCTCCTTTCTCCCACAGATAACTGTTCTGGACAGGTCGTCACCCCTCCTCCGCCCCTCCGACAGCCATGCTGAAGTCCTAACCTGTGAACGTGGCTGTATTTGGAAGTCAGGTCTTTGCAGATGTCACCAAGTTAAGATGAGGTCATACTGGGTCACGCTGGGCCCCGGTCCAATATGACTGGTGTCCTTATAAGAAGAGGAAAATCCGGACACAGACAGACAAGGAGGGAAGAAGCCATGTGGGAGGGAGGCAGAGGGCGGAGTGTTGCTGCTGCGCCCGAGGAAAGCCTGGGGCCACAGGAGCTGGGGAGACCGTGAGCCCCAGAGACCTCGGAGGGTTCAGTCCCGCCAACGCCTCGATGCCAGACTTCCAGCCTCCGGAGCCGAGACAGGCTTCCTGTTGCCATCAGGCCCCAGCTCGTGCTACTAGGTCCCACCAGCCCCAGGAGAGGAAAACAACCGAATCGGAGCAGTATCTGCACTGGTCGATCTTAGTGGTAGGTCGTACGTCCTTGCTGAGCACAGACCCAGTACAGAGCATCTTTGTACGGAACGCGGTCCAGGCAGGTGAGAGGGACGGAGTCTCGCGACCATTTGCAGGGCCGTGTGTGGGGCAGCGGGGGCTCCTCCCTGAAGCCTCGCCGACCTCCTCGGCAGGAGCAGAGACGCTGCTCCCCTCCACCAGGCAGGCTCCCCTCTCAGCATGCTGCCCCCCTCCAACGACGGCAAATTCATATCAGAAAACTCTAGAAGCACATTCCCATCTTAAAAAGCTGTGTGTTTGCTTTTTGCTTTGCCTGTAACTTGTCACCTTAGTCTCCCACTCAAGATAAATGCAAACAAAACTTTTTTTTTTTTTTAAGAAGCAGAGGGAACAAAGAGCTGGTTCTGGTCATGTTCCAGGTGTTACCACTTGTCATGGGCCTTCCATCCCCCCACTGGGCCCTCCCACTTTTCCTCGCAGCCTGTGATTCCTGATAAACACCCCACGGCTGTTAGGAGCCGCAGCCCCAGCTCCAGGGGAGCACACCCAGACTGGGCCCTGCCTCCCAGGCCGGTCGACACGCCCTGACTTACGGTTCTGGAGGGAGCGTAGTGAGCCGGGGATGCTGCCGGAGGCCGGGGCCGGGCTGTGGGAGGCCGGGCAGAACCTCTGGCCCGTGTCCGCAGGGGAGGACGAGGCATAGATGCGGTTTTCCAGTCGCTCAGGCTCCTGCTTATAGGACTCGAGGGGGAAGGAGTGCTGCTTGGCCACTTGGGTGGGCGTCGATGGCGAGGAGGAGAGGCCGGAAGCTGGGGAGAAACCACACGGAGCTGTTAGAGGTCTTGGGGTGTGGTGGGTGTTGGGCGGGGGGGGGGGCAGAGCGAGGCTCCTCCACTTCCAAGAGCCCAAATCTCAAGAGGAAGAATGAGATGATTAAGCTGTGAATTCTGGGACCAGCCTCTACACACCGATGGCTCATCCCTGAAGGTGAGCGTGTCCAGAAGTCCCCTCGTCATCCAGCGGGGGTCGGGGCGGGCCCCTTGCCTGCGGGTGCTCGGCCGGGTCAGGAGTTGCCTGGGTGAAAGGTTTCTCACGGACACACATCAGATGCTGCTTTCTCCCATTTGGTCAAATACCATTGGACGCCTGTCCTCCCTACAGAGCACGGTGCCCAGGCACACGGCGAGGAACCAGGCTGCCTGAGATAAGACGAGGGAAGTCCCTAAGGTATTTGACAGGGACAAAGGTCAATGCTGCAGCCATCACATGCCAACATACGCTAAGGACCAGACGGGACAAGCCGGTACTGTCAAAATGTGTGGGGAGCCAATATAGGATTAAGCCTCGGACTGACCTGTTGGCAAAGTCACAAACAAGTCCCAGCTTAGAGGGCACAGTCCACTTAGCATAGTTAGGCTTGACCTTATGACGCTCCCTAGATCTTACCTGGGAAGCTAATGGGCTGAGGGAAGTGCAACAACAAAAGCAAGTGAAACTCACAAGAACAGTGTAAACAAGTGAAACACATAAGAACAGTGTAACTTTGGTAACCACTACCTTGTTTACCTCTGACTATAAAAATAAAGGCTCATCTTGCCTCGGGATCTTTCTGCTGTCTCCATGTAAAACATTCTTCGCCGACTCCGTCCACATCTTTGGGACCCCCTGGACCCCCAGCGTTCGTTCATAGCTCTCTAGCTTACTTGGAAATAGCGTCTTTGCAGAAGTCATCAAGGTAAGATGAGATCAGACTGGAGGAGGGCGGGTCCTTACCCCAAGGCCACGACTGTCCTTGTAAGAAGAGAGGACCCAGAGTCCCACACCCGGAGGAGAAGGCGGGTGACAGGCAGACCCTGGAGTGCGGGTATCTACAAGCCACGGAATGACAAGCCGCCAGAAGCCGGGAGAGGCCAGGAAGGATTCGACCCAGAGTCTCCGAGGGAGGGCGCCCTGCCGGCCCTGGGTCCCGGAGTCCCGCCTCCAGAACCGGGAGCGTCCACTCCTGCTGGGTTTGGTCCAGGACACGAACACACAAGAATGTGTCCGGATACTGATTTGTTTTCCAAGAGAAACAGTCGGGATTTGGGTCTGGTCTCTCACATCTTCCAGGTCACTGAATGAAAATTTTATTTTAAATGTGTTATTCAAACTACTTAAATCACGTGAGTAAAAGCAAAGATGCCCCGGACACGGCTAAGGCCACCCACTTCCTGCTTCTGACCCAGACAAGGACTGGTCAGCCACGAAGCCGCAGCGGAGCCTCCTTCGTCGTGCTGCTCTGTGCCCCGCTCCAGACGCCTGTCCCCGGTCCCTGTACACACTGTGTCCCCGCTCCTGCTCCCGTCCTCACTCCCCACAGGGCCTCCACTCGGGCCTCACTTCATCCAGTCGCCTGACCTCGGCCTGTGAGCCTCCCTCTCTGGAAGTCCCCCAGCAGCTCCACCTGTGGGCAGCCAGCTGTCACCCGAGGCGTCCAACACGACACCAGATGTGCAGGATGTGCTCTCCTGCCCCCAGGCCCTGCCCTGGGCGGGGGGGGGGGGGAGTACCAGGGAAAGGCTGGCAGCCCAGGGCAAAGAGAGGATGGAGGGGGAGGGGTGAGGCTCAGGCTCAGTTCCAATCCCCTCTCCCTCTGGTGTCCAGAGAGTGTGGGGCTGCACGTTTCCAGGGTGGCCGTTTAGGAAGTAACCAGTGAAAGGAGGAAAGGAGGCGTGCCTTTCCCAGGGATCCCCCAAGACCACGAGGTCACCCCGGGGACCTCCCCCCCAAGCCCAGGCTGGCCTCTGGGCACAGCGGGACAGGGACGCTCCCACGAGTCCGCAGGTCTCTGAACTTCCGACATGAAAGGCCTCCCACACAAAGCCCCGAATGCTCTGGAAACAGAAATCAGCCCCCAAAGGTCTTGAGAAGCAAGGGCTGCCTCGAGGGGAGGCTGGAGGCGGGAGGGGGAGGGGGAGGACCAAGAGCAGGAAGAAGCTGATGGCTTGGCAGCTCCTCAGGGGAGACCAGCGTCCAGCAGGCAGGACAACACGGAGGCACCTGGCCCGGGCCCAGCCCTCCTCCGCCCAGGCCCCGGCGTCGTGGCACCAGCACTCCCCAGAGACGCCAGAGAAGGGCGAGGAATGCAGATGCCAGCCCGGCTCAGAGCGTGCGGGCTGCCAGAGCCGTGTCTGGGGACCAGAAGGCGCTGCTGTGCTGGTGTCTGTGGGGCCTGCGCACCTCCCTGGCCTCAGGCTCCCGGGGGGGGGTGTCGTGGGGGCGTGTCCATCAGTGATTCTTCCAGTGGGCGAGTCCTCACAGGGGCACCAGCCTGGCTGCTGTTGGCGACGCCAGGACGGGCTAGTTCCCAGCGCCACATCCAGCAGAAAATGTTGTGGTTCACGCTCCTAACTCTCGCTCTGGCCACTGGACACAGGCTTTCCTGGGGGCCTGCTCGGCATTCTGGAGGGGGGGCTCGAGACCCGACGGAGGGGCAGAACAGAGCAGGCTGGGATGCGGGCAGTTTAGGGGTAACCACATCCTAAAGCCTGCAGAAGCCCTACGGCAGAGCCCCTCTGGGGGCCTTGGTTCTTCATGTACAGGGGGGCCTGGCCAGTGAGCTCTGGCACCCCTTGGTGACGGCGAAAAGCACCCAAGTCTGTCCTAACTTAGGGCACAGGCTGAACCAGCCCTCCACCGGGCCAGTGACCTCACTCAACCACCCATGAAGGAATGATCGGGGCCCAGAGGAAATCAGCTCCTCAGCAGAGGGATTTTGGCAAGATGGACCGACACCACCAGTGCACCCGTCCTCGCGATTCCGCTCTGTGACCGCCTGCAGACAGAGCTGTGGGATTGCCGAACGGCGAGGGCCGTTTGTGAGCACGGCGCTTCGGAGAGCACGCGGAGGCAGGGATGCCTGTCCACAGGGAGAGGTAAACCAGGTCTGGCTCATCCACACCGACAGCCGCGAGTTTGGATCGGGCGTGCGAGCCCCTCAGTCTTCTCATCTCTGCGACGGAGTGGGGAGTGAAAAAGCGAACTGCACAGCCATCTGTGTAGAATGGTACCATGTCTAGTTTCTACAAAGGGAAGAATGCGTGCGCGCGCGCACACACACACACACACACACACACACACACACACTGCCTGTCTGCATGCGCCCAGAGTGCCTCTGGAAGGACCTGGAAAGGCTGTCACCAGACACTGGAGCAGCCGGCAGGAGAGACGTCTGTCGCATGCCCTTTTCTACTTTTCGGCCTTTATATTATCTGTTCAGAAAATTACTGTTTTCAGGCCACCGTTCTGCTTCCGAGCAAGAGGCTGGCCGACGCGGTGGGAGAGCAGGAGCCTGCTGCCCCTGCCAGGCCCCAGCTGCCCTGCTCCCTGCAGGTCTGTCTGCGGAGGAGACGAAGAGGGGCTCAGAGGGCGGGGCGGGCCCCTGGCTCCCTGTCTGCAGAGCGCGTGCTCCCACGACAGGCTCCCTCCTGCTCCGTGACAGGCCTCCCCCCTCACCGCACCCCGCAGGGACCATTCAGAGCGGGCAGACCCCTCGCTTGCTTGTCCTTTGGGTACAGAACGTCAACATCTCAAGTGGAAACAGCTGAAGAGACCTGGACTCAGCGGCTTGTCCCGCCCCCCGCCCCCCAGGCTCCGCCTCTGGCTCCTCTAGTGAGCAGCCATCCCCAGGCGGTGCTGCCACCATCCCGACCCCATCCGGCCGAGGACCACAGAGAGGCTGGGCGCTAAGAGCGCAGCCCTGACCGAACCTCGCTGGACGCCTGGCAGCGGAGAAGATGAAGCAGTTTTCCTTGGGGGTGGGGGGTGGGGTGGGAACAAGCTGTTCCAGGTGGAACAGAAGGATTCCTCGCTGCCCTCAGAGAAACTTCTCTCACTGAAACCTTTCCAAGCTCAAAAGATGCTTCCCTGACCCCCACCTTGGCCTTCCCGCCTCCTCTCTGCTCCCTTCCCAGAGCAGGTGACCTTTGTGGACCAGCAGGGGAAGGGGGATTGTGAGGGAGGGGACAAGTAAAATGACGTGTGAATCAGGAGTGTGGTGTTTAGGGTACAGGGGAAGAACCTTCTGGAACCAAAACTACGCCCCTCGTCACTGCTGCCTGAAACAGCCTCCGAGGGGCAGCGTCCGCAGTAATGGCCTTGCTGCTTGCCAAGTGCTGTCACACACGCTGTTCCACGTGCTCCTCGCAGCCACCCGCAGGGGAGGGGGCGGCAGGCTTACACCCACTTTTCAGATGAGGACACGGGTGACTGGAGAGGTTACTTATCCCGGGTCATTTAGGGGGTAAAGGGCAGAGGTTACACCTGAACTCGAGTGTCCTGACTCCACATGCTAAGTCCTTTAGCCAGGATTCAACAAGAATATCGCCAGAGAAAGCACACAGACGTCACACCACCCCTGGGCGTATGATGGGCGCAGGGAGGAGAGGGTGGGCTTCCCACCATGGGCTTCCCGGGGGGTGCTTCTCTCCAGCATCAGCCAGGAGGGTAGCCACGGCCAACCGACAGGAGGCTTCACCCACACTCAGCCTGTTTGCCTGTGTGTGTGTGTGTGTGTGTGTGTGTGTGTGTGTGTGGCTATCTTATAAAAGGATTGTGGGGCAAAAATAATATAGCTAAATTCTTTTTAAAAATATTGGTGTAATA